CGTGATCTGACCCTTGTGTGCCAAACTAGAGAATTTGCCTAACTACGGGAGGTCAGTATTGTCTAGCAGCATTATCAACACTTCCACTGCTGACTGGGATCTTAGAAGACATTTAAAAGTAAATTAGAGCTAAATAACAGCACAGAACACTAAGAGTGAGGCCTGGTGGCTGTAAACAAACTTTATGGGATAGCGGGAAACTTGGCCACACCCATGATGAGTGAACATTCGGCTAACTAAAATCATGCTGGACCACAGATGTTGCTGGACCAGAGTGTGCCAGACTAGAGAAGTTCAACCTGTTCATGTTCCTGCTTATAGGAAGCAGATGGTATGATCTTACAATCTAGGGCTGCTGAAAATGTATAAGTGTCCCCTTGCTAATTTTGAATGTTCAGAGCAAGATTATAAAAAGACCGGAGGTCCTAAACATGGTCAGCTGCAAATGTCAAAATTGTTGCTCCACTGCATTTCATATTATATTATCTGAGTTTATAAGGCTCTTTTTTGAGGGGTTTCCCCTGTAAATATTTACTGTTACAGCAAGTTAAGTGAGCTCTGCCTCAGTTTGACTCAAACTGTTGTGGAGGTAGATTGGAGATGGCAGGTATCACTCTTATAGCCTGGTGCGTACGAATGTTCAAAACAAGGAACACTCACATGGTCTCAATAGGGGCTGCCCTTCTAGATTGCTCAGAGCTTCTGGTACTGGGATTCCAAATCTGGAAGCAAGTACCCAACCAGTTTTCAAAAATTAACCTTGTCTTTAAGCATATGCTCTGACTAACATCTAGCAAAGCGTGCGAGAAGATATATTTAAAGAGAGCAAGGAAGAAAGAATCTTACCAGCAATATAGACAAAGGAAAAGTAAAACATATAGGCTGCATCTAGACTGGCAATTTTTTCCGCAAAAGCAGCTGCTTTTTCAGAAAAACTTGCCAGCTGTCTACACTGGCCGCTTGAATTTCCGCAAGAACACTGACGATCTCACATAAGATTGTCAGTGTTCTTGCAGAAATGCTATGTTGCTCCCGTTGGGGCAAAAGCCCTCTTGCGCAAATGCTTTTGTGCAAGAGGGCCAGTGTAGACAACGCGGTATTGTTTTGCACAAAAAAGCCCCGATCACGAAAATGGCGATCGGGGCTTTCTTGTGCAAACCCGCGTCTAGATTGGCAAGGACGCTTTTCCGCAAAAGCACTTTTTGCGGAAAAGCGTCCGTGCCAATCTAGACGCTCTTTTCCACAAATGCTTTTAACGAAAAACCTTTTCCATTAAAAGCATTTGCGGAAAATCATGCCAGTCTAGATGTAGCCATAATGAGAAATGCTAGGCAGTGACAATTAAGTGAATTACATAAAATGATGTTTACCTAACACCTTCCTGGAATTTAGCTATCTACAATGGCCAATATTGAATGTATTGATGTGTGCTGGAACATCTCTTTAATGTGCCTCTAAGACTTCAGAAAACAAGAAAGTAGCTGTACATCCAATCTCATGTATGTGATGGCAGGAATACATTTTTTTAAATGTGATAAAGGAGAAAATTGAAAATCCATCTGAGGCCTTAGTTGCTGCTTTTACAGTCCTGGGCCTTAATGGGGATCAGGAAAGTCCTTGGCAATCAAGATGTATTACATTTGAGAAATGGAAGTAGGTTGGATCTGCTGCTATCATCTTTATGACATTATGATATCTGAAATGCTTTCACATTAAAATAACTTTGACATTTGTGCCAAATAATTGAATTTCTGTTAGTCCAAGAGACTGACAGCCTGCTATCACCCTAAGTACTTAAGTGCTATTGATCTTCATGTTTTAAAAATAATTTTAGAAAGCTCAGTGAAATGGTTTTTGTGAGGGGGTGAGAAGAAAAAGAATGTGCAATTCTATTAAAAGAAAACAATAAGTAGTAGTTTTTGGTTTAATTTCTTAGTATGTTAGTCTCTAAGGTGCCACAGGAGTATTCATTTTTAAAGTTACAGACTAACACAGCTACCCCTGTGAATTCTTAGGATGATGACAGCTTGTAGTAGTTTTATAGATTGAAATACCTAACGGTAAAACCTGTGAATAAGACTTACTTTCATTATTTTTCAGATCATTTTATGCATTTAAGATACAGTTCTTACTGGTCTGCCACCCTTGGGATCTGACCAGTCCTGAATGAGGAGATTTGCTGGTCCAGGGAAGGTCCCCTGCTACTGACCTCCCAGCTCATTGGCACTCCCCTCTATTGGCTTACTGTGGCCTGTGTCTGGTTCCACTGCCCCTGGCCTCCAGGCTGCAGCTCATTGGCACTCCCCTCTATTGGCTTACTGTGGCCTGTACCTGGTTCCACTGTCCCTGGCCTCCAGGCTCCAGCCCCTGCCTCCTCCTGCTGCCCCAGCTGGGGCTCCCCAAGGCTGGAGCTCCCTGGCTGCACTGCCTGTTCTCCCTACCCCGGGGTTCCCCCCGGCCAAGTCTCTGCCTCCCTCCCCCAGAGTATTTCCAGTGCTGTCGCCAGACCTTCCTCTCCCTGCTCTCTGTGGTCCAAAAGCATCCGTGGTCCTCCCACCAGTTACATATCATACCAAGATTAGAAAATATTATGGAAGGGATTCTTGAAAGCATGAAAGTTGTTGGGATTTGTCGTCTGAAATCACTTAATCATTTTTCAAAATCCTACCCAATCATTGAGATGTTTCAGCATCATCTTATCTTGTTAGAAGAAATTCAGAACATCTAAATGATAGATGTTTGGAACTATAATAATGTAGGGAGCTATCTAGTACATTTATCAGAGTATTCTTTTTGAAATCAGTTCAATAGAACTTTAAAACTGTTCCGAAAGAAACAAGCAAAAGCCAGATCAAGAGAGCATTTCTGTATAGAATATGCAGCTGGAACGGCAGGTGGCAATTTTACATGTATCTGTGATGGACATAATATATAAATGTTTTAGAATATAATTTAATTCTTTGAGGGATTGCTCGTGTCCTTTCTATTTAGGTGTGCATATGCCATGTGCAGTATTATCAGAAGCTTTTCCCCTTAGCAGTGCCTATATGCTGCTGCTAACCCTCCACCTCTTCAGTTCTTTTTTTACCACCTGTGATGGCTGTTAAAACGTTTTCCACTTGCTACTGCAAGTCCTTCCTTAGTAGTTCTTTGGTAAATAGAGTTTCTTTGTTAATTGTAGTTATAGTCATAGTTGTAAATCGTGTTAGTTAGCAGGGGTTACCCACCCCACATTAGTCCCCCCACACCAGGGCCTGCCTGGGCCTCAGGACTTTACCTAAAACCTATGTAGTAGTGTTACTATTTAGGTGACTCCCAAGCTTTAGTATAGCGTGGGAGTCACCTAAATGGAATGAACATGAGCAATCCCCCAAAGAAAAAATGGTTACCTACCTTTTGTAACTGTTGTTCTTCCATATGCATAGAACATATGCTCATGTCCATTCCAAATTCTGCCCCACCTCCCTTTCGTCCGAGAGTTCTGGCAAGAAGGAATTGAGGAGTTGGAGGGCCAATAGAGTTATATATGCACCTCTATGGAGGTGCTACTCCTGGGGGCTTCCCTACCAGATCAACGGGTACTGTTGAAGGAAAAACCTTCTGACAATTGTGCATATTCACACACAAATGGAATGGACATGAGCAACAGATCTCGAAGAATACCAGTTACAAAAGCTTCAGGGAGTAGCTGAGTTAGTCTGTACAGGATAAACCTAAAAAACAACGAATTGTCTGGTAGCACTTTATAGACTAACACAATGTAACAGTTTTATTCACAAACTGCAGTCAGTTTTTCCACTTGCTTCCACATGCTTCTATTTCTTGAGCAGGAGATATTAATCTTGCTGAATTTCACCTGAGTGCTGTGGTCAAAAGTCAAATGAAAAGTGACTAGAAAGCACTGAACTTATTTTCTTTGGCCTTACACTTCATCTCTGCAGTGGAGCATGAGTATAAAATGCCTTAAGGAAGTCCACTAAGAGGAAATGCAATTATGAAAAGAATGTCTTCTACTTCCCTCTAAATATGTGCTTCTGGTCTCCCAAATATTTTGCCCAAGTGGAAAAAAGATTGTTGCCTGCAGCTGTGAGAAATCAGAACTAGGGGATTCTACAAAATAGCGTATTTCCCTTCAGAAAAATGTACCTTATGCTTCATATCACGGTTGATAATTATCAGTGATAAATATCTGAATAGACTATATGCTGTCAAAATGGCAAAAAGTGAATCTAGCTTGAAGCAACATTAATTCTTCTTGCATACTGGTAGGAAGGTCATGTAATATGGTATGTGAGATGAATCCCAGTGATAGCAAGGGCACCAGACCAACTGTATTGTCATAGGTAAATGGGGCTAGAGGGAGAGCCCTGGAGTGAATATAGTCACAAATTCAGAGTATTTGGGCCTAGATTTACAATGGATCTCTGGATTCTAAAGCATCCAATAAAAGATATCTCATGCACTTTATTTCTCTAATATTCTGGGATCAACACAACTGCAACAAAAATGCAGAAGATAATGTGATTACAATTGTTTTTCCTCATCTAAGAACTACTACCAATCTTTGACCTAGGTTAACTTATCTAGATCTTTAAATAAGTTCTTACACTTGGTCTCTCACTCAGTAGATTTGATATTTTGATTTCTTTAGTATTCCTTTGAGCTCCTTAAATGAACTTCAACTCTTTAGGTTTCTCTGGCTACATTTCTAAAGAAGACAAAATCTAACCAATATCTAATTGACCTTCCTTAGTTACATATTTTATAGCACATTGATTATAAAGTTTTTTTAACATGCTGCATAGATTATGTCCCATATTCCTTAAATGATCATGTAATCTCCTGTGTTCATGTGGGATCTGAATATTTCATTCAGTTTCATTCAGCTTGTTGAAGATAAAATATGCTTGGTCTTTCTTTTATGCTTCTTCCTCTGTAATTTGAGCATTGTGTAGTGGAAAATGTGTGTGTTAAAACTGGGTGATTTGTGTTGTTTGTAGGCCAAAACCCATATGCCAGTTAAAAAATTAGAAGCTACCCATCAGTTCATGAAAGGCTTAGATCCTGATGAATCCAAAGAGAATCATGAGCAGAAGAAAACAATTAGCAAGAATCAGTTAATTTCAGACAGTTCTTCATCTCTACTGACATCAACAGGGAATGCTGAGGTAGGCTGAGGAATTTCTTTGATGTGTGTGTGTGTGTGTGTGTTCCTGGAAACAAGAAAACTCCATTTTTTACACTCACAATTCCTTAAAGTGCATTTGCATTGTGAGTTCTGGTGTCACAAATTGCCAAATATCAGATCAGGCTATCCATATGGTCCACACTTAGATCAATGTTTGTGTGTGTGGTTTACATGGGATGCAGGGCCTCATATTGCTATTACTTTGCTTGTAATTAAACAAGTAATGATTCTATTAGACTTTGGACAATTTATATCTATAGCATTAGAATTAACTGTTTCCTTTTAATACTTAACTATTTTAAGGATATCCTTAATTTAGAAATTGCATTCATTCCTAATTGAATTGGGTGTGTGGATTGCTTGTGATAGAGGGGAAGTCAGAGTGGATAATCTGGTGGTTCTATATGGCTTTAAGTCTGTGTGCATTTCACATTTGTTTAGTAGTCTGGCTTAAAGCCCTCTTGATGGGGCATCTCAATTCAATCTGGCCAAAAGGAGCTATTTCCAAAAATAGACTGGAATTAATTTTGATCACAGTTGAGCCCAAGCATACCACATAAGAAAGGGTACCATATTCAAGAACTGAATTCTTTCAGCAGCTGAGATGCAAAACCATTAATCCTTCATCATCAGGTTTGTGTGTGTAGTGGGGAAGACAGTTGCCACTAGGGCATACTTGATTAATCACTTTCCTGAAATTGATTCAGGAAGTTTCCAGCGTACCAACAGTTTTTGAGAATCAGAATAGTGGACTATTACTACATGGTACCTTTGATGAGGAAGAATCTGCAGAGTCCTTTCAAGAAGCTTTAACTCAGTGGAGAAATGGAAATCATGAACACAAAAAAGAACAGAACTCTGATGAGGCTAAACCAGGTATGAACTAGTTTCTGCTAAATTCATTTTTAAAAGGAAAACGGAATCCATTTTGGTAAATATTGCATATTCTCAACCCTTTGTAATATATGAATTCATACTTTTTAAATAAAATGACAATTTCTAAGTCTCCAGCTGATTCTGTGCTACTGGAAAGTGACATAGTTCACAACACAAGCTGTATGCTTCTTACTTGGATAGTAAATCATTTCCTATCCTCCCATTGCACTGATTTAACAATACATCAAATAGATTGATAAAATACTTGTCAGAGACTGAAAGCATGACTGATTTCTTGATGCCCAGTTGACTGAAAGAGAAGGCCTCTGACTGATGAGCTGCTGCTGCTGCTGATGGTTTGAAACAGAAGGTACCTAGATTTTATAAGACAGGGAAAAGTGGACAAAAAGGAAGGGAGGAACTGTTTGAGCTGGGGGTGAGTTGCTGAAATGGTGGGTGAGGAAAGCAATTGAGGAAGCCTTCTGGAGCTGTGTCCCGGAATTCAAGAGTACTATTTAAGGGGGAAAGGAGTGGCTGGAGCTCCCCTAAGTTTCCTACCAAAGCAGGACACTGACTCCTGCCTCCTCTCTAGTCAGCAGTGGGAGCAGTGTAGGCGGCTTTCTTTGTTTACTCCTCTCCCCCTCCAGTTCATACTCACCAGAGTGAAAGGAATGCAGGCTCATCAATGTAAACCCCTGCTTTGCTACTGGCTGAAATCAGGAGCAGCTGGGTTAGACTCAGAGCTCCTGAGATACTGGTTTTATCTTGGCAAGAACAAAACTGCAGCAACAAATGCAAAACATAAAGGTGAGCAGTCACCTCCCTTGGCTTACACTTCTGTCCTCACTGCCAGCCCCTTCAGTTTGCCTATTCTTTGCTCTACCAAGAGGAATGTAGAGGTCTCTGGCAGATCCAATAGAAGGACAGGGAGCTTCTGCTGCACTTTTTTCAAATTCTTTGAGATAAGCAGGCTCAGGGAGTGGTGGGTAGAGAAGGAAGCTCAGAAGATGATTGCTGCAGATTTCCTCATGATGTGCCCTCATTCTCACAGTTTGCTGTATTACAAAGGCTGGGAGGAACAAGCTCCAGTAGACACAGAGCTTCTCAGCCAGGAGAGAGGGTTGTCTCCCCCCCCAATGCGCATTCTCATTAGCCCGTCTATGGATATTTAAGTGCTGAGCTAAAGAATGACCACCTGGGATCTTTCCCGGATGTCAAGAGACAAACATGAGGTGTCACACCACAAGCATTGCTTAAATTACACTGAAAACATTCCCATTTTTTTCAGCTCTCCCAAGTTTTGGGATATTGGCAGTGCCTTGAGGTGGCCATTTATTCTTACAGAAAAGTGGGACTAAATGGGAGTTTTTCCTTTAACTACAATGGACTTTGGGTCAGATTACCAGGCAGGGCTCATACAGACTGTTACATACAAATGGTGATTCCTCAGCAGGCTGGCAATTACATTTTTTAATTCTAGGGCTTGTTCCCAGAACACCTTTTAAGGAGCTGCTGGCCTTTTTTTATGTGCAGATACAAATAAATGTTGTCCTAAGCAGCCAGCCATTTTATGGCTATGTCTGTTATGCTGTATGTCATCTTACTCTTTCACTTGGTAAGTCATCTTAGCTCCTGTTTAACTTACTCTTTAATATTTCTGAGGGTGGCAGAGTCTCACAAACTTGAGTACCTTCAGTGAATGCTATGGAGATGATGTTTATACTCTCAAATCCTTGGAGCAACACACCAGGAACTCTCTTCCAATCCTTTGCATTTATTCAAAACTATTTGCATAAGTCATTCAGTGCACATAAATAAATACAAGCCAAGATATGGCTGACAAAATTTGTTTGCTATAGATCTATAGTGCTAACATCCATCATTGAATTAGTCAGATAGTGGTTCTTTTCAAAGGTATAAACCAGTATGATAATAAAGAAATTGTTTAAATACATTGATTGGACTGTTTTCGGGCTACTGTTTTATGTTTAAATGACTGTAGTCTATTGATTCAGTAGAAATCTGGAAATTCTATTTTTGCTGATTTTTTCCCCCCCCAGCTCAGATGAAAGCATGCTGTTGTCCATGCTTTAGTTCATATCTGGAGTGCTGCTTTGTTTTTCAGTAATTTATTTACTTTTAAACATTCCTACAAGAAATTATCTCATTCTCCACTTCACAATTTGACTATACAATATTTTAAAAATAACAATAATTGCAAGGCTAAGCAGATTTTTAGCAGATTTTATTTCTCTGTACTGAAGATTGTGTACAAAGTATCAAACTTGTGTTTAAGGCTCTTAAACTGACTGCTCAAGATTTGGGATTGGAAATATCTTTCTGTTATCGTTCTAAAATTACAAATAAACTTAAAATATGGCTTTAATTGATGTTTGTTATATATTTTTCTTAGTACAGGTTGTACCTCCCTGGTCAGGCACCCTCGGGACCTGACCAGTCCCGGATGAAGCATTTTGCCAGACGAGGGAAGGTCATTTTGGGCCCTCCTAGCCATGGCCTCGCTGCCAGCCTCCCCACTGGTTTCCCCCTACCATCAGCCCCTCAGCAAAGGCCTCCCACCCCCACCACCACAAACACAGACTTCTGGTCCCATGGGGCAGCCCCCATGCTGGGGTCCAGCTGTGCTGGTGGGTGACAGACCTGCTTGGACTTCAGTCTTGCTGGGCAGTGCTCTGCCTCCAGGTCTCACCAGACAACTCTGTCAGGCAGCAGCAGGGCTGCCAGCCTATTTGCTGTGCCTCCAAACAGCCCCACTCCCATGTTCCTGGCCCTGCCACCAGGTAGTCCAGTGGTCAGGTTCCCAGCCTTGCAGGACAGCTGCCTTGCCTCCTAGTCCCGCCATGCAGCTGAGCCGCTGGGCAGCAGCGGGGCTGCTAGGCTCTTGGTTGTGCTGTCTGACGGCCCTGCTGCTGGGTTCCTGATCCCATCGCTGGGCAACCCCACTGTTTCCTGGTCTTGCTGGGTATTTTTGCTACCGGGCAGTAGCCCCCTGTTGGGCTTTAGCCTGCTGGGCAGCCCTGCTGCTTCCTGCCCCCCTGCCCTGACTCCGTTTTGCCAGTGCGAGGCAACCCCCCTGCAGAGCTCTCAGCCACCAGACCTCCATTGGAGTCTCTGGTCCTGGAACTTCCCTGGTCCATCCTTCCTCCCTTCCTTTCAGACCAGGCATATTGCTGGACCATAGAGTCCCAGTTAAGAGAGGTTCAGCCTGTATAAGAATTTGGAACAATATTCCTGTCAGTTAATTTCTAAGTTATCACCTGCAAAAAAAAAAAAAAAAAAGTTTTCAGGTGCCTAAATAGCCTCTGGAATGGAATCATGGTTAAAGCTGCAACCTCCCCCAACCAAAACCTGAAATCACTCACCTCCCAGAATCCAGAGATATGAGAAAAGAAGCCTGTAATCCACAGCATTTTGAAAGGAGACAAACTAAGAAGTAGCTTTGTCCGGGCATGTCTACACTAAGAAATTATTTCATAATAACTAAATTTGAAATAACTCCTGAAATAACTATTTTGAAATAAACTTATTCTCTGAGGAAAGCAGGAGAGCAGATTTTGAAATAACCAGCCCGTTATTTCAAAATAAGGGGCTCGGTAGTGTGGACACTCCGCTTATTATTTCACAATAAGGGGGGTTATTTTGAAATAACTCCCTAGTATAGACCAGGACTTAGTGGGAAGAACTGAAGCCAAACCTCACAGAAGAGGGATTGTCAAAGGGAATTAGACAAGCCTCACAAAGGGCAGGTGGTGCAAATAAAACACCTCAGAAACAGACTTTGTTTGAGGCTGCAGTAGGAGGAGGAAAGGAAAGGAGGAGTTGTACCTGGTCAGAGTCTGGGATGAAAGAGACTGTATTGTACCTTGATAAACTAGTTCTTAAGATGGAGCATTGGTCCACAAAAGTCTTGGTGGATTTACTGAGGAGCTCTGGTGTGAAGGGAAGTTAATATTGGACTCCCTAGAACCAAACAAAGACCAGAACAGAGCACTGCACAAAGCAGGCATGCTCATTTATGTACAGCTAGCAAATATCACTGGATTTTTTTTCAAATGTTACTACTTTTTTTCCATACAGTTATTGTGATGGTTATATGGTGTTCCTTAAGTGTAAGATGCTCCAGATAAATGTTAGTGCCTTTGTATATTGAAGCACTCTGAATGCTGATTTAATCTGTTTCTGTAAATTCAGTTTGCTTAAGTAGGCCGCATTTTGATATTGGATTATTATAGCTTTTTAATGTACTTTGCAAATAAGGACTTAAGTATTTTGAATTGCTTTGAAGAGGTAATCTTTAGGAACAGTAAATAACTTTTCCTTAAAATGATGTATTTTCTCTCTTTAGAATAGTGGAATAGTATGCAGATAGTGTTTTCTACTGACGGCACAAGGGACCAGAGTTCTATTTCTGATTTTGTGATCCTGGGCAAGTTATTTAACTGCTGTTCTTAATCTGTAAAACTAATTTAATAAGATAGAACTGACACAGATTTTCAGATATTCTGATCAAAGGTACTTGTTCACAGCACTTCTGCTATATGCCTCTTCAGTCTTGGGTCTCTTGCTTTCATCTGACACCTTTATATTAGTAAATTCAAAGCTAAAGATTGCAGTCTGTTTACTGAGGTAAGCAATTCACATGCCTCAGGATTATGTACATTATGTCTTAGTGTGTTTTATTTTTCTCTCATAGCTAAATCCATCAATCTCAGAGTATCAGGTTGAATCCTTCCTTGTGAAGAGATGTGATCAGTTAATCACAAACCATGAAATCTTGTTTACTTGGATTTGTGCTGGATATTCTGTCTCCCCACTGGTATATGGATGACAGGTTTTTGTGCTCTGTCTTTCTGAAGTATAAATGGCTTGCTACTTGATATATTTGGAGTAATCTTATTACACTTGTACCTTTTCCTGTGAGTTTGGAAACCAATGGGCTTTGATCCTGCAGATGTGCATGGGCTTTACTTCATGCATGTGAGCAGTCCAGCTGCCTTCAGTGCATAAATATAAGACATAAGTGTGTGGAGCTTTGGGGTTTTTTCATGTTAATCTAGACAATCAGTTATCCCATGTAAATGTGTTTTTCAGGTCATTCACCTCCAAGAACATGACCTTCAGAATTAATTAGCAAGCTTACATAGTACAGGCAATGCACTAATATTGAAGGATATATAGTTGAAGGATATATAATTGTCTTAATCAGCTAGTTTTTAGTCTTTCATTATGTCTGAGTTCTTTTACTGCTTGTCAGTGGAATCTTTACATATATCCTTGCAACTTCCATTTTATTTGCAACTAGTTAAAGAGCAGGTAAAGAAGTCAACTGATGTCAGATACCTCGGTATAAATTCTGTTTTTTGCAGAGAGTATGATGATTTAGCCCAAACAGTGTGTTTTCATTTAATCCAATTAGATTGTAAACTCACTTTTCATCTGGGTCATAAGTTCTAGATAATTCTCTTAGAATATGAGTAATATGAGAATAACCTTTTAAATTTCATGAATAAGCAGACATCGAAACCAAGCATATACTACTGATATACTATGAATAATAATTATTTTTATCGTTTAATAAAAAGAAAGCATATTATCATATTTTAATAACATGTATTCAAGTTTTCTTTATACTTACAGATTCCATGGGAGTTTGTGAGGTACAGACCAATATCACAATTTTGAGAGAACCTGTAAAAATTGAATTCAGAGAAGAAAGTCTGAATTATATGGAGAAACTGTGGCTTAAAAAACATAGAAGGTAGTCACTGAATCCTATACTGCTAATAAAAAACATCCCTAAATAGTTAAATTTGCAATATGAGCCATCTAAAGCAATTTTATATTTGAGAACATATTAAACATTAGAAAGTTAAAGGAAATTACTGTCTCATTTGCTTTCCCGTAAAGTAATTTACTAATTATGTATGTATGTTGATGAATAATTTTTTTGGAATTATTTTTGAGAGATTTTTGTTAATATCAATACAAAAATAAGAATCTCTTGTAGAACTTGAAGTTATTAAATAAAAAAAATTAAAAGTTTTAATTTACCTTAAGGAGTTTACTATTATAAGAATACATTATCTGAAGCATAGAAGGTGCTTGATTAAATGTGTTAACCTGTGTTTCTCAGAGGTACTAAATATCTTTGGTGCCTACAGAAGTCAGTGGAAGTCTAGGTGGTCAGCCTTTCTCACAAGCAGCTTTGCATGATGATGCCCAAACTTCATTATCTGTAAAAAGTGTCAGTGTTTCATACAGTTGTATGATAGTAATAATACTGTAACTTTTAAAGACTTGACTCCTCTTTTTCTTCTTACTTTAAGAATGCCATTTGATCAAATACCTCATCTTCAAGTAGATGAATTCAGACTTAAGCATGAATTCATGAATGAAACACATGGTGCTCTGAATGAAGGAGATGGAGATGATGATGATTATTTAATAGGTTTGTTGGACTTCTGTTAGTTATGTCTCTATTAAATATTCATTTCTTACAATTCTTTCTCACATCCATACATGCTGAACAATTGCAAGTAGATGGTTCTTTCCTGAAGTTGTATGTGGGTAGTCAGGAAATAAAAGAAACTTATGATGGTTAAAATAACAACTCCCATCCCTCCCTCCCTCCCACCCCAACTCTAGTAACTCAATACATACAAATATTTAAAAAATAAAATAAAAGTGTATTAACTACTTATACTGTATTTTCCAGTTGAAGATATGAAAAAATATTGGAAAGCTCTTTTTAGAGCAGAAGAGTCTGACACAGTTCCTAAGAACCTTGAGTCTGCTTTGAAAATTGAGATACTCAGTGATGTAAGTATATGTTTCTTAGAAGTAAACTGTAAATGGTTCAGTTTAATTATCTTATAACCTTTAAACAGATTGAGCAGTTGACTTTTCAAAATGAGTTAAACAGAAAAATCTGGTTGGCTAGACTTCAAACTTAAGTGGCATACCTTAGAAATACCGTTAAAGTACACTTATTTTAAGAATGCCAGTTGATCAAATAACCCATCTTAATCTCTGGTGTCCCTGGAACACCTGTGGTGTGGACTAAGTATGTGAATGACTATTCGATAAGCATTTGCTTATCGGATAGTTGACATGCTAGTCGACTAGTCGCTTCTTTCCCCTTGCTGCCTTTATCAGAAAGAGGCAGCAAGGAGTGGGAGAGAGGAGGGGCTGGTCCGAGCCGCATGCAGCAGTGCTGCATGTAGCCGGGGTCTGCTGCTTTGAAATGTCATGTGCAGCCCAGGGTTCCCAGCTGGCCCCAGATTCCCTGCAGTGTTTCAAAGTGGTAGCGCTGCATGGAGCCTGGGGTGAGCTGGGGACTTTGAATCTCCAGCTAACCCTGGGCTCTATGCGGTGCTACTGCTTTGAAACTCCACAGGGAGTACCATGCCAGGGAGGGACTGCTTGAGTCCTCTGCTGGCCCCATGCTCTCTGCAGCATTTTTGCCTTTGAAGTGTAGCAAAAGCCCTGAGGCCTTCAAAGGCAGAGGCACCCTTATCGACTAATCAAATAGTCGATGCAAATAATCGAAAATAATAGCCAAAATAATAGCCAAATAATTGAAATTTTACATCCCTAGTTCGGACCCTAGCTGGGGGAGGAGGAAAAAGCTGTGCATGCTGCCACTCATCCCCCTCCACCAGCTGGAAGTGAAGCAGCACAGTGAAACGTTTCTCAAGCAGGGGCAGTGCCTAAGAGCAGAGGGGCGTGCAGAACCACCTATGGCCCTCAGGAGCGAGGTGCCAGTTAAGCACTCCACTCCAGCTCTCTCCCTTCCAGATCCTGCATCCACCTCCCTATCACACTCTTGAATGCTTCCTTCCTCTCACACCCTCCCACTCCCAGCATGCTTTTGCACCCTCCTTGCATCCCAGACTATGTAGGTATTGTTGTCTGTTACATATGAAATAAAAATTCAGTATTTTGTGAAATGTTTTTATTTTCATATTCAAAATGAAAAGTATACATGAACACCAATGTTCCAAAAATTCCATAATCCAGCATACCCTATTTCCCAAAATTACCAGATTAAAGAAATTCAAGTGTACTTGTTTTGGTGTGTTGCTAATGATGTCAGTCAATCCATAGAAAGTTCACATTTCCAAAGTTAAATAAATGTGCCTAGTATTTCTCCCCTGATAGCACCAACTGTCACAGAAGTAATCTGTCCAATTTTTCACTCACTGTGGTGATGTATTTTTTGAATTATTTAGCTAATCTATATTGGTGTGTATGTATTTTTTTAATTAGTCTTGTGAAGAGGACTTAGATGAATCATGTAACTCTGTAATATTGGAAGTCGGATCCACAAAACTGAGTAATGAACAAAGGTAAATGGAACAACATGATATGGTAGTTTGATTTCATTACTTTCCAGAAACTGAACCAGTAATCTGTTATGACTATGTACAGTATTTGGGCAAATATTTCACCCTAACAATACAGTATAAAACCATGAGCTAGGCTAGGGACATAAAATCCCATTTAATTAGTTAATCAGTTAAACATTATGTTTAATTGGTTAACTGATTTAATGGGTTGGGCGGGGGAGCCACTTCAGCCTGGTTGGACTGGAACAGCTATCCCCCATCCCCTTTTCCCCCCGCTGTGGATGGGTTGGAGCACCCACTGCCTGCGGCTGTCCCCGCAGAACTGGAGCAGCTCCTGCCCACAGTGGGCGGGGAGCTGCTCTAGCTCCCACCGGTTAACCATAACTGGGTGAGACTTACCATTTAGCCATTCACATCCCTACCACGAACCTCATTGTTAAAATGATTGTTGTGTGTGTATATCTATTTTTTGGGTTAAATGAAATATTTTGCTGTAGACCTCATTGTTAAAATGATTGTTGTGTGTATATCTATTTTTTGAGTTAAATGAAATATTTTGCTGTAAAAATCCAGTCCCGGTCATTGTATAATATGAATATTATACAAAACAAATTTTAAAAGGCCATTGAGATGCTGTTTCAGTTCTCCAGCCACTCTTAAGAATGTGCGTAGGACCCATGAGCCAATTCATCTAGAAGGCAACAAGCATAAAGATAGTCTGTAAAGCAGTCCTGGAACCTAGGGGACTTGTTGGTATTAATTTAAGATACCTCTAATGCACATTTTTTCATCCTACTCGTAAAAATCTATCCAATTTGTGTTGAGTGACTAGCATCTTTAATATGTAGCGCTATTATTTGACTTACCACTCCTCTGGGATTTTTCAAAGATCCTGACTATTCCATTATTCTTCCCTACTGGAAGGTTTCCATTTTACTTTAGATAGATAACTTGTTGGTGAAAGTCTGGTCAGGAAGAGGGTACATGGTGCTTAAACAAAAGTTTAATGCTCAACACACACTTTTACATGAGTTCAAATATTTCATTTCACATATAATTACTTCAGTGTGCTTTCACAACAGGCACTGTATTATTTAAATCTGGCTCTGTGATTATATTATGTTCTTAAAGAAATACCCTTGAGTAAATTTAGTATGTCCAAGTAAAATTATTAATTCCTGTAATTATGCCCTTTTATCTTTTTAAATCCTTTTTTATTTCACTTTTGTCCTTAAAATTAGTTTTATATAGAGTACTGCCATTGATACTCACTGTAAAGGGTGAGGCTTACCAGTTAACCGTTCACATCTCTAATAAGAATCTGAGCCTTTGTGTGTGATTTTTTTTTTTTAAATCCAAAGTGATGCAATGCCTGAAAACCAGAAGGATACAATATCAGACTTTTTACCAGAACCAGCTGCTGATGTAACTAGTGGAGCATCTATTAATTCTGTTTCTACAGCTGACAAAAAAAACCTTTTCAATCCTCATGATAGAAGCACCATTCCCCAAAAAGAAATTTCTAAAGGTAAATTTGGTAAGATTATTTTTGGCTATCACTTTCCTTTAGGGATGTAAAATCCTGGTTAATCAGTTAACTGGTTGAACCATAAGTTTAACCAGTTAACTGATTAAGCGGGAAACCACTCCTGCACCTCCCCCTTCCTTCACATCCATGCTGGGCTACTGCTGCTGGCCTTCCCGTGCAGGGCTCCTGGCTGCCACAGCTGGTCCCCCTCTTTGGGAGAGGGGGGGCAGCAGGAGCTAGCAGTTGTAACTCTTATTCCTAGACTCCTCTGTGCATGGGCAGCCAGCTCCTGCTCCCATCTTCCTCACTTCTGTGCCAGGTGGTGGGCTTCTGTTCCCAGCCCCTGCATGGGGATATAGCAGCCACTATGGGTTGGGGGCTGCTCCAGTATACCTATTAACTGGTACCCAGAAAAGATCACCTTGTACCCAGTAATGATAACCCGTAAGAGTGATGCTTACTCGGTAACCGGTTAACAGTTACCCATTCACATCCCTACTTCGTACTAGTAGACAGTATAGTATTTTATAGGACTATCTTCCTTTGTTTGGAGAAGACAGACCTTGTAATCAATTCAATGCAATGGTATTTTTGTGCTAAAAGTAAACACATTTGTTCTTTAAAGATACTTTGAACACTCATTTTTGAGTCAAGTGGCATTATTGTATGGCATGCAGAAAAACAGGTTTATAGCTTGATTATTAGGGACGCAGTGTGTCAGAGGGTTAGCCGTGTTAGTCTGAACCTGCAAGAACAACGAGAAGTCCTGTGGCACCATATAGACTAACAGATGTATTGGAGCATAAGCTTTTGTGGGCAAAGACCCACTTCGTCAGATGTTTGCAATATCTGGGTATATTACATGCATAATCATATGAATCAGTTACACTAGGTAGGGATTTGATCCCAAGTCTTTAGGTTTATTTAGAGAATTCATGTTGGCCCCTTCACTCACAGTTTTAATAGAATTCACAGATTGTATTCACCAATTGTCATGTGCACGGAGGCTTTTATATTTGCAGCCCAAGTACTTGGCTAGTGGTCTATCTGATTTGTGGGCACAAAGGCATATTTGAAAACATATATAGAAGCATCTGTGAAATTCCGTGGCTGTATTGGTGAAAGATGTCTGAAAAATTGGCAGTTTTGTATTGCAAAATCATTATTCAGCACCAGTCACAAAACAGTTTATTTCTTATTCCAGACTCAGAAATCTGTATTATTTTACTATCTCTGTAGATTTTACACATCCACTTCGTCTTTTTTGTTTAGTTTCCTCTGCAAGAACATCTACAATGAATAATGAAAGAATTTATACTGATTGCATCCATTCTAGCAAAGAAGAAACACTTCTCAGCAGTCATAATGAAAGTGCCATAACAAAAAAAGAAAGCATTAAAGCAAAAACTTACAGAAGATCTCTTAGGGCTTGTATGTCACCTGAGAAGACTATTGACCTTCCCAAATTAGGAAGCAATGAACCTTCCCCCATGACAAGATCATTAAAAAACAATAAAGAATCACTGGAATTCAACAGTCTCCACACAAGCAAGAATTTGGATTTACCTGTAACTACAGGGGCTTCAGTGGTAAAATGTTATGTACCTTTTCTCCAGATATAGTCAGTATTGCATAACTGCCCTGTCTACTTATTTCAACATTTTTATTTTGGCATAATGCAGTAGAGGGGGACTGGTATTTGACTATATATAGTAGTTACCATGAAATACTACACATTAATATGTAGTAACAAATCAACTCCATTAAAAATGGTAATTATGGATGTAATGTTAGTGAGGCAGAAGGGTGTCATTGATTCACACTTGCAACTGGGGAAGATAAAGATAAACGTGCTTTCATCTCTTCCCTTCCCTTCCCTTCTCGACCCCCATTTTCACTCTTCTGTGGGAATAGATGAAGAAGAGCAAGAGAAAACCAAGATTAGTTCGTCTCAAAAGCAGTGCTTTGTGTTGCCTGTTGCTCACCATCCCTTCCTCCTTAGCTTTGATATCTTAGGCTGGGCACGTCCTCCCATGGAACCTATAGTATTCAAGCATTTCTCACTGAATGTAAGCTTGAGTGGCAGGTTTGTTTGCTTATTTCATTTATGAATACAGCATTTGTGTGTTTGTCAAGGCAAGTAATCTTGATTTTCTTTTAATGGTTGCAGATCACAGGGTATGCCTACACTGGGATAAAAATACCTACAGCATGGGTTGGCCTTGAGGGGCTAAAATCACTGTGTAGATACTCAGGCTTGGGCTGGTACCTGAGCTCTGGGATCTTCTACCCTTGCAAGGTCCCAGGGCTTGGGTTCCAGCCCAATCTCAAATGTCTACACAACAGTTTTTCAGCCCTGGTATGACTTGACCCAGAAGGGTTTTTTTGTTTGGTTGTTTGTTTGTTTTTAATTCCAAAATAGTCATATCTTCAATGGCTTAACAGAAGTTGGAAGGAAGATCAGGGAGATAATTCACTCTGATTACCTTGACTACTGAGTAAGCGATGTTTTTTAGGATTTTTTTTAGAAGTATTCCATGTCTAAAACTTTAAACCTTCCATAAAAATACTTATAAATTAATTAGAATGATTTCAGGTTTCTTATGTGAAATTTTATTATTCTTATGTGAAACTGATTTGTCATAGCCTAGTATGAGTAGAAAATACCTTTAGTTGTCTTTAATATTTTGTCTTTTGTTCCAGTTGTTACAGGAAGTAGCCCGAAGAGAGAAACCTATTTTGACACAATATCAGGGACTTGAGGGATTCTTTATTTTACATGCAAATTCTAAGCAAGTAACAATTCCTTCACCTTTCTCAGATTACAGCTCTACAAACAACAGTACTTCAGTTTCAGGTAATAATGTGGAAATAAAATCCTCCATTACTGAGTACATATGTGCATCACAGTCTTTATTTGTGCTGAGATGTATTTCTATCTTTATATATCTATGTGCGAGGTACAGGGTGTAATTTTTAGGTCAGAATGATAAATTGGTTGATACTGGTTTAACTTGCTCTGCCAAGAAAACAACCAATGGAAGGTAAGAAATTGCAGGATAAACTAGACTCCTATTTCATATGGTAAATTATACCAATATACTTGATTTCTCTCTGTGTATCACCTCAGGGTTTGGACTCCAGTCAGAATTCATGCTTTTTTGCTGGTGATAAATTTTGATGTGATGGCCTGCTTAAAATTATGCCTGTTCTGTTACTTATAATGGCTTCCATTAAAGCATCTAAAATGATATATATAAAGTTACTAAATCCTTACATTGAAGTATAGAATTTGAAAAAATAAAAAAATGACAAATTATCTGCATACCACTTTAAAGTATATTTGTTTTTGTTGTGTGAAATTTCTAATTATAATGTGCTGATCCTTTTTGGACATAAAACTATTAAATAATCAGCAGCTACATTCCTAAGAACTAAATAAATATTAGCATAAACAACATATTAATATTTTCCTGGTGCTATTTATGTTGAATTTTAATTTCAGGAACGGGACATTGGTTCAGAGACACTAGCCTAAGTGAATATGCTGATGATTGTATAGTACAGGATGTCTTGCAAAGAGAACTGAGCAGATCTTCAAGTAATTTGGAACTACAAAATTTACGCACCGGGGTTTCACCATGGACATTAAAGCACAGCTCACCCATTGGTAAGAATATGAACAAGATAACAATTTTTGGAGTTTTTGATTTTGCACATTAGGTATCTCTCAGGCTAAGTTTGAGCATATCAGCAATCCTGTTAACTTAAAGCTAAGCATATGCTGAATTTGCTGAATTGTGGGGGCTTAGATTTGTTTGATGCAATTCGTAATGAATTATTTTTTGAATGAAAGTGTACTTTTCTTTTCTAAAATAGGTAGTTTTAGAGTCTAACCATTTTAACTTTAGATTTAGATATACCGTAAAATCTCAAGTATGTCACATTTTCCCCCATTTTTTTAGGGTCAAAGCCGGGGTAGGTAAGAGCTATTTTTTTTAAAGTTTTAAACTCCCTCTCCCCTCCGCACAGAAACTTTCCTGCTGCAGTGTGGCGTGGGGCCGCAGCCCTGCCAGACTCCCGGACAAGGCGAGGAGCCAGCTGTGCCGCCAGGCTGCAGCACCCTGGCTTGCTGCCTGCCTGGTGCTGCTTCAGGCAGTGCCTGGGGGCCCCCACAGCAGGCGTGAGCTCAGCACGCGTGAGCTCAGCTGGGCAGGGGGATCCCGCAGCAGGTGTGAGCTCAGCGAGCGCGAGCTCAGCTGGGAAGGGGCCCCCATGGCAGGCGAAGCGAGGAGCTGGTGGTACTGCTAGGCTGCATCACCCTGGCTCGCTGCCTGCTCGGTTTCAGCGTGAGCAGCTGGGCAGGGAACCCCGCAGCAGGCGCGAGCCCCTTCCTTCCTATATATACTGTAAAATTACGAGTATAATGGGGGTGCGCATTATAAATAAGAGTTTAGTTTATTCAAGAATTCTGATGTTTAAAAGGCAGGTGCGCATTATACATAGGTGCGCATTATACCCAAGTTTTTACGGTATGCTATCTCCATGCAACAGACATCCTGGCTGTTCCTCTTTGGCCTATTGATCAAAGCTCAGCAGTTGATGCAGGACATTCCATTTGATGGAGAGACCCTGTTTGCAGAGCAAACAGACAAGAGTAAGCTCACAGGCTAAAAGACTCTTCGCTCACGACCCTCAAGACCTTAGGATTGTACGTTACTGTCCCAACTGTTGCACTTCCGCAGACCTGCTGAGTAACAAACCCGGACAAAGAGTGGGCTGGAGTCGTATTGTTTTGGGGGTTGTTTATTGGTACAGATTCTTAAGAGTAGGGTGATACACACATACGCTCACGCTCACAGTCAGTCACATTCATGCTGGCAATTTGGAGGCAGGCTTCAAGTGCGGTGTAGATTACTTTTGATTTTGCTGGTGGCTGGAGTGCTGGCCAGGTGTCAGCTTCCCAGAGACTTAGCCATGAAGTTGCTTGGGAGATTCCTTCAGATCTGCAGGAGGCTTTACTTTCTCTGGGCCGGTCCCAGGTTTCCGCTGTGTTGTTATATCTTGTCTAAGGCAGAGAGAGCTTTTCCTGTCTGCTTATCAGTTGATTTATACACTTTGCACGGTCTTTGATTGCTTTAAAAGGCTACAGATCCTAAACTGCCTTTGATAGGGTATTCCTCATTCTCACTTCACACTCATTCCATAGGCTACATGTATATTCAGAAGTCTACATTAAGCAGTATGGTTTCTAGGCGAAGTTTGACCTTATGGCCTTGAGTAACAAGAAACCATAGTAAAAAGCCTAACATAAATCGTATTGCTTGACACTTAACAAACTGTAGCTAACATAGCTAGGGTCAAGGAAAAGGGTAAACAGAGGGGTATGGTCAGCCAGCTAGATGCCATTGAAAAGAAGGAAGGGGGAGTCATGTCTGACTGGTTACACCAACCTATAAGAGGTTTAAACTGTTACAATCTCAGTGCAAAGGGATCCA